CATTAACTGAAATGAAGAGCAACAGCTTCTGGCACCAGATTTTGAAAAAGAAACTAAACTGCTTTCCAATTTACCTATTTTCTCCTGTCCTTAAGCTAATCTCATTAACATAAAAGCAGTCTCATGCGAACAAACGAAACCTACCTTTGATAGTAAATATAAATTTGTAGGTAAAGTCTGCTTTTTCATCAGATCCAGTTCTGGGTAGTTGCAGCATTCCTTTCAGATAAGTTTAGTTCCAAATAAAATAATTAAATCTGTAAACACTTCTTTAAAAAAATGAGATGCTTGGCCAGTCTGTATTTATCTGCATGATTCATTTTCTAATTTCCACATGAATTAAAACTGCCTCACATGACAGGAACTAGTAGAGTATATTCAAAGTATTCCTGAAAGCAAAATCCAGAAATATCCTCACCATTAAATCCAGTTTGTGATTAATTGCCAGCGCAGAGTGTTCCAGAGCCTTGAAAACAGATGCATAGCAATCACTTAGTTTTGTGTACTTGCCAACGAGTGCTATGGAACACACCTTCAGCAACCTTTCATATCTGACAAAAACAAGTTTTTCAGTTATTACACCAATTTCCACAAAGAAAACATTTTAACAGTGTTTTGCCTTATCTTTAGCTTCATAAAACATCTTCTAAAAATCTCAAAACTGACAATGTTTTTAAACCCAGACTGGTCACAAGTATTGATCACCAGCATGCTACTGACCCCAGTCCAGTTTGGTGACTTCACAGCAGCTAAAAACCTAACTTGAATTAAAACACTTCTAGAAAAAGCAGCAGGAGCTAGAATACCTGTCAGCCATTTTCTTCCATTTCATTAGAAGATCACTTGGCTGGTCATCAATAGGTAAATTTAACCTCTGTTTAAAATACTTAATGATGCCTTGCTCCTCCAACAGGATTGGTACTCGGTAAGTGGAAGAAACATCATGGATAAATATCACCTAACAAAAAAAGTGTAACATAAAAGACTTACCTAAAAATTTTTCACAGGAAACATGCATTCTGTTTTTTGTATACTACATGTGTTTCATATTCTACATACATTCTGATTTTTAAATACTTTTCTTTTGAATGAGCAGAGCAGGACAGCTAATATTTAAGGTTCCACTAAATCCACTTATTCATCACACCATCATACAAAAATTGCTTGTCAAGCCTATCAAGGCATCAGTTTTAATACAAACATCTGGCCCCAGAAGCAGTCATGCTTGCTAACACTTTTCTCTCCCTCTCTCAGAAATGCATAGAATATTAACTCGGAATGAAAGAACACAAATGGAACCTAACAAAATAGACCCAATTAGGTTGCGATAAAGTCTCCTAAAAGAATTTTGTTAGTGAATTAGTTATTAATTAGTAAGGCTGGTCTACTCAAGGACCATTTAGTTAAGAATATATTTATAAATGGTGTCCAAGCTGCTAGCAGTTACATTCACTGTACTTGGTTTACATGAGACCACAGAGTTCAGAATCCTGAGTACAAGTGTTTTCTTCCCTGGTACACAAGAAGTAAAGGATACTCGCTTAGTTACCCTTGAGTTATTTCTGTTCATCACATAAGTATGTACACATGCATGCTGCTCCGTGCCTCTCTATGTGCCCATACAACAGCAAAATGAATAGGGTAACCACAGCCCTCTTATAGTAGGAATAAGGCTTATTCAACTGTTTTTTCCAAACTTTGCAGCTACCATCCTAGGGATATGACATCAAGAAAGAATCACTAACTGCTCTAGGTTACAGATTGTCTATAGCTGACTAAGGAGACTGTTATAATCCTGAAACAAGCTGAAGACACTGCTTTTGTTTTGGTGGTACATACATTGAAGCAAGGAGGGAAGACTCACTTGATAAAAGCAAATTAAAAAAAAAAAAATCCACTTTGAGGAAGTCTGTGCACAAAATATCATGTGGTCTTCATGGATTACTTGTGGCAGTCCTGGAAACCATTTCCAGGCACACAAAAGCAAGAAAATCATCAGGAGTAGTCAGCATGGATTCACCAAGGGGAGGTCATACTTGACCAACTTGATAAACTTCTGTGATGAAGGCCTGGCAGATGAGAGAAGAGCAATGGATATTGTCTATCTGGACTCCAGGAAGGCTTTTAACACTGTCTCCTGCAAGATCCTCATAGACAACCTGTTCATGTATAGGCAGGATGAGCAGATGGTGAGGAAAACTAGCGGAATGGCTGGGCCCAGAGAGTGATGAACTAGTCTAGTCTAGCACAAAGTCTAGTTGAAAGCCAGTAACTAGAGGAGTACCACAAGAATCAGTACTGGGTCCCGTCCTGTTTAACACCTTCATTAATGATCAGGATGATGGGGCAAAGCATACATTCAGCAAGTTTTCAGATGACACCAAAGTGGCAGGAGCCGTTGATACACCACAGGGTTGTGCTGCCATCCTGCCAACAAGCAGGAGAAATGGGCCAAGAGGAACCTCATGAAGTTCAACAAGGGGAAGTGCAAAGTCCTGCACCTGGGAAGGAACAACCTCAGGCACCAGTACATGCTGGGGGTCACTCAGCTGGAAAGCAGCTTGGCAGAAAAGGAACTGGTCTTGGTGGACACCAAGTTGCACATGAGCCAACCAACAATATCCAGTGTTGCCAGCATGTCAAAGGAGGTGATCCTTCTCCCTTATGCAGCACTGGTGAGGCCACACCTGGACTACTGGGTCCAGTTCTGGGCTCTCCAGTGCAAGAGAGGCATGGACATACTGGAAAGAGTCCATGGCCCACAAAGGGCCATGAAGGTGATTAGGGGACTGGAACATCTCTCTTATGAGGAAGGGCTGAGAGTGCTGTAACTGTACAGCCTGGAGAAGAGAATGCTCAGGGCTATGGGTGGAAAATCTCAACAATGTATAGAAATATCTGAGAGGAGGTTGCAGAGAGGATGGAACCAGGCTCTATTCAGTGATGCCCAGTGACAGGACCAGAGGCAATGAGCACAAACTGAAACACAGGAGGTTCCTTCTGAACATAAGGAAACACTTTTGCACAATGAGGGTGACCAAGCCCTGGTACAGGCTGCCTAAGGAGGTTGTGGAGTCTCCCTCCTTGGAGATATTCAGAAGCTGTCTGGCCATGGTCCAACTGGCTCTAGGTGGCCCTGCTTGAGCAGGGGGGTTGGACCAGATGACCTCCTTTCCAACCTCAAGTATTTTGTGATTCTACAACAGCAAAAAAAATGGGAAAGGTGGACTGAAAAGATTGATCTCCCTGAGATTGTAAATCGCTGTTCTAAACACAAAATAAACTGTAGCTTCTTCTCTACCAGCATTGCACATAGCTCCAGGAAGAAGACTCATGATGCGTCTAATCCTTCAGTTCACAAGAAAACCAGGATCATTCTAGGGAATATATCGGCATGTGGCCAGTGTCTTCTGGAATCCAGAAATGGTTCATTAATTTTAAGACACTGAGGGGACTTAAGAATGGCTTTGCAGACTTCTGATGAATACAGTTATGAAAAAAAAAAAAAAGGCTACAATACAGTATGGCGCCTAGCAGCATCCCAGTTCAGACCACTGGGTCTAAATGCCAGGGACACACCTGTATTACACAATGCAGCACAGTGGACAGATATTTGAGCTAGCCAGAACAGCACAAGAAGAGTGCAGAACTCTGCCCAGGATCATATACTCAGCTTCTCATGAAAGCTGTGACTGGTACAACTATTGAGCTTCTACCCTAAAAGGCACAACGTTGGGGAAAAAACAGTGCTATGAAGACAGCTCCCTCCCTGCCAAGGAGTTCTTAGGGAAATGCAGTTAACACATGGGACTCCTGGTCCGGTTAGACTGGTGTAATAACTGCAGTCGGAATCCAAGAATGTACACGCTTACACATGGCCTGATAATGCCAGAAAAGCACACACCATTTTTGTTTGATTGAACTTCCAATTGTCTCTCTCTGGCTGGAGAGGAACCATAAAGGCATTTCTGAAGGATTTTCCAGAAACTAGCTCAAGGATGTTGTCCTCCACAGACAGTAAGATGGAAGGAAGGTGGGATGGGGAGTAGTGGCCACACTGCCCTCTATGTCCTCATCTGGAATCTTACTATAAAAAGCTTTTTCTTATACACCTGCAGAGAGAGAGGTCAACACTGATACATATTTGAAACACAGCGTAACTGTGGCACCAACGATCCCTCTAATATTATTCATTACATTGAAGAGTAAAATGCTCTCACTTGCAAAAATATTAAAGAGCATTCGATTTATCAAAATTAATATTCAAATAGCAATTAATCACAAACTATTAAGGCCAAAATCACACATGAATTATAAAAAGATATATCTACTGCACAGTTACGTTCTAAACATGTTAAAGGGCATGTTGAGTCTTCATGTGGCTCTGATGATCTACGGACATAAGCAAAACCCCTAGCTTTAACCACACTTTGTCCATCCATTATTATAACAACCTGAGATGATTTATGGACAATAACCAACTACAGCTTGAAACTGCACAGTTTTCACAACTATGTATAGCAATTAGCCACACACTCAATATCTACTCCTTTTATTAACTTTTTTATGTAACATGCATTTAAATTATTAATGATCGTTTGACATAAAATTTAACATATAAACTCCCAATATTTTTAAAGTGTTATAGTGTACAAGACAGCAAGACAAAAATTGTAGAACATTACATATTACATATTAATGAAACAGTCTTAAGTTTAAAACAGAAATGCAGCTGAAAACAGAAATATTTGCATGCTTTCCCACATGTTTAAATAATGACAAATAAAATACTAAAGTACTGACCTGCTCAGGTTCCACATGGCAAAACATGGAAATCTTTTCCTTCACTGCCATTTCTATAGGTTTTGCACTTCTGCAGACAATCTGTCAGAACAGAAGGAAAACCCTTAAATATTTACTAGGCAAACCAGGAGAAGATCCTCAATACCATTCACGGATAAATTAATCTCCTTTGGAAGCATGGCACAAATGTGCCCTTTTTTCCTCCTCCCCTCTTTTGGAGTTCTACAATATATCACAGCTCACAAATATCTGCTAGCAAAGCAGAAGTAAATCAGTCACCTGCCCATATTGACCCACTTTTACTAACCTTTCTTTGGCATTCTCTGTAATAGTGCTTCCTCATGTTCTCCTTTCCCGTAGCTACTATTGTAATACCTGTTACCTAAAGTCTAGCAGGTCTCTAAGTATGAATCAGCTAAATTTAGAGCAATAATACTTTGCTTACATGCATGTTTTCTAGTATTTCAGTACTTCAGCACCTTTTCATAATTCTTAATTTGCACATGATGATAAAAAGGAGGCTGAAGATGAGAAAACTATTTCATAATTTTGTGGGGTTTTTCCTGGTGCAATTTTGCTATTCTGCTATTATTTTGTTGATACCTGTAAAATTCAGGAATTTTAGAAAATATTGATAATTTTTATCAATAATGAAAGTAAGCATGTGTTTTGGTGTTTGTCGGAAGGGGTTTTTTTGCACTATGTCATTTCAGGCAACTAGCTCAAAATGCAGAACTGCTCTATCAATGTGCCTATTGATTACTCAGTCTACTACCTTAAGTTACTTTGAATCCTGAAGGTATAACAGAAAGTAGGATGATCATGTTAAAAGATTAACTCATCTTTTCCCCATCTTTCTAGCAAATGCAATTACTTAATGCATTAAGCCATTTTTTCTTCAGAAACATGTAGCTGATCTTTGATTGCCTTGCTAGAATGCAGCTTAGACTTCATCAGTATCAGTGTAGCTAATTAACGTCCCCTATCCTTGCAAGAAATTTTAGAAACAGAAAAACAATGCCAAGTGTGAGGGAAAATTAGTACACATTCTAATAAGAAATATAATTAAAAAGAATTATGAAACAATCTGTATATTCTATTCAATTAAGCACAATTTATACTTAAAAATTTGGTAATGTTTGAAAATATAATTCATAAACCTTGATAGTATGAGCATATGATTAAATCCACTTTGAAATCTATCATCCATCTTGGTGAGACAAATGAGTTAATGCAGTCACAAAAATCAGAAACATCAGAATTAGCATGAAAATACAAAACTACAATAACTGGCAGAGATGCATCTCAAAGAAACAGAATACAAAGATGAGGAACAATTCAATTGAATAGGGCAGCACTGACAAGCATATAATCAGTTTTCAAAATGCTGTAACAGAGTCCGTTAAATCTGCAGATACAGCATATTCATTAAGCACTTAGAACACACCATGGAGAACAGAAAGGCTCCTGTAGATACACAACTGAGACTGACCCAGCATGCCACTTCAGGGAAGCCTGGGACCAAACAGTGAGGCAGCAGGTATTAAGAATGGGTCTAGCCAAGTTTAGATTAGGCAGCCTGGCAGCTCAGCTTATGAAGGAAGCCCTCCTGACTGCTGTTCTAGGAGCTTCCCCATGCGCTGACTTGGCCTTGGGCCCCTGCCCAAAAGAGCAACCATTTAAAGATTTTCTTGAAGCAGGGCCCAAGCAACTTAACAACAGCACCAAGAGGCTGTGCTCAGAGTGTAATCTCTCTATGCTTCAGCAGTCAACAGCAGCAGTTAAAAAAAAAAAAAAAAAAAAAAAAAAAAAAAAGTACTGTGCTTCTGGCAGTCCCAGAACTGCTCCAGGCAAGAACTCAAGATGTGAGTGACTAGTCTTGTTTTCCTTTTATTACATGCACACACACACTTAACAGGCTTTTAAAAATTAATTGGGAGCTTGGGGGGTGGGGGAAGGAGAGAGTCAGGGAGTCAGGCACTGACAATTATCTTAAAGGACTTCAAAAATCACATGCAACCTTCCATATGCAATTAGCACCTCAAGAGGGATTTTGAAATTAAGGCCCTGAGGCTTTGAATATAGAGCAGCATTGCGTTAATAAAAGTCCTTCCACAAGCTGATTACAGTTACCAGGTCACAACAACGTGAAGCTACCTAACACATCCTTCACATACCCTATTTATACAGCCATTGGTTTTGTAGTTATAAACATGTTTTTTGATAAATGTAAAATGCAAGAGTTCAAAAAAGAAAAAATTCCGAAAGAAGCACAACACAAAATTTAGTTGTGTGACTATTCTTTTAAGAATGGTTTTTTCCTTTTTAAGGACATAAATATTATACAGCAGCAGTGACTATTCTTTCATTTCTGAGGGCTAGGAAGCCTTTTCTCTCAGTGGACTTTATGGGAATGGAAAGTGCTCAACAACTTACAGAATCAGGTAAGTAAAATATTCTTTGACTTTACAAGCAGCCTCACACAAAAGAACAAAATCGCCCTTTCCTGTTCCTTGAAGCAGATCTAGAAACAGAGTGTGTTGTCAGCTGTACCAGCTGCAGCTCAGGAAGATATGAGCATAAGTTTGAACTGGGGTTTTACTGGCATTTGAAGCTGTGCTGCCCTGGTTTCACTGCTACCAACACTTGACCGAGCAGATCAACATCAATGGCAGACAGGTATCACAACACGGAGCTAGAGTCTGCTTATGTCTTTTCTCTGCTCCCAAGGAAAAGTGCCAAGGAGGCAAAGACCACATCCAGGGAATAAGCACATACTCATTACTAGAGCACTGGGGAGAAAGAATGGAAGGAGTTGAGCATTTGTCATCATTTGCCAACTGGCATGAGGTTAAACTTGCTGGCTTTAGGTTCACTACAGTATGTGGTACAAGAAGGGACTGAGAGCAGCCCTGATGAGAAGGACTTGGGGGTACTGATGGATGAAAAGCTGGACATGAGCCAGCAATGTGCACACACAGCCCAGAATGCCAACCACATCCTGGCTGCATCCCAAGCAGCGTGGCCAGCAGGTCAAAAGAGGTGGTTCTGCCCCTCTACTGCGCTCTGGTGAGACCCCACCTGGAGTCCTGTGTCCAGCTCTGGAGCCTTCAGTACAGGAAAGACATGGACCTGTTAGAGGAGGTCCAGAGGAGGCCACAAAAATGATCAAAGGGATGGAACATCCTTATGAGAACAGGCTCAGAGGGTTGGGGTTGTTCAGCCTGGAGAAGAGAAGGCTGTGGTGAGACCTTATTGCAGCCTTCCAGTACTTAAAGGGGTCTTATAAGAAAGATGAGGACAGACTTTTTAGCAGGGCCTGCAGCGATAGGACAAGGAGTAATGGTTTTCAATTAAATGAGGGTAGATTTAGACTAGATCTAAGGAAGAAAATTTTGACACTGAGTGTCGTGGAACACTGGCACAGGTTGCCCAGAGAGGTAGTAGATGCCCCATTGCTGGCAACATTCCAGGTCAGGTTGGATGGGGCTCTGAGCAACCTGGTCTAGTTGAAAATGTCCCTGCTCATTGCAGGGGAATTGGACTAGATGGCCTTTAAAGGTCCCTTCCAGCCCAAACTATTCTGTGATTCTACTGTGATTCTATGAAAGAAATTGAGGAAGATTTGAAGATTCACCCACACATTTTATATTTCCAAACAGGAATATTTTTAAAGGCTGCACTTCAAAGGTAGGATTGCTTCTTCTTAATCATGCATAAAAAGAAATCTGTGAAAGAATGTCAGAATCTAGAAGCATTCTAGGTCTTCCCACAAAATTAACTGAGACTTTAGATTATTTTTAGCAGTGCAGAACGTTTTTTCTGCAAAGATCCCTTTAGAAGAAGAACATAGTGAGAGTCCCAAGAGATTGCAAGGAGTTAGTTGAATTTAAGCTAACTTACAGTGAATTTTAAGTAATTTGATTTCCTACGGCTTTAGCAAAGCAGTGCAGCATACATTTTGCATGTCTTCTAAAAATCTTGTCTCTCATGGGAGACTAAGGCTTATTCTTTGAACACAAGTTATGCAAGGACACTTCTAGGTGACCTATAAATAAAAATCTGTATTTATTGACTCACCAAGTCTGGAGACAAGCCTAGACCCCTCAGTGCTCGAACACTGTTCTGTGTTGGTTTTGTCTTCTGTTCACCAGTGGCGTTAGGCTGCAAAGACATATTTTGAAAGCTCAAATAGCAACTAACATCTACTAACAGAATAGTTACAGCTTAAAAAAGAGAAGTCACTGCAAGTAATAATACTTGCAGGAAGTAAACATATCCAAACAGAGCCAGAATATGCCAGGAACAGAAATGGCACCACTGTTATTACCTATATAAGAAATTCTCTGAAGAAACCACATGGCCATAATTCAGAAGAGATTTATTTCGGGGGCGTGGGGAGGGGTCAGAGAAAAAGTTTCAATATAATTGGCTCACGTAGAAGAATAATAATATTCAAAAAGTTGGATTTTCCTAATAAATGGAGAATGTCCAACACAGCACAAAGCCTTCAGTGACTGTCCTTGGAAATAATCAGATTTAGTAAATAATTGTGTTCTCAAATACACAGAATCAATCCTACCAATTGCAAATCAATCCTCTAATCCAGAGCTGTAATGGTTAATAATTCTCTTTTTATCTGTACAAGGTGCAATTACATCATCATTAACAACCTTTGCTTACCAAAATATCCCCAGTAAATACTTACCTCTTAAAATTATAAGAAAACCTATTTGTGAAGAAAAATCTGGAGTTCAAATGGGAAAATACTTTTAGCCCTGCTCAAAAAGTTGCAGTGGTCTTGACTGGAAGACCATTGTACATCGAGGAGTCAGTGACCCACATCAGAGTTCGGCTGAGGAAGCCCAGGGCCATGCTGTATGGCACAAATCCCTTTGGACGCAGGACAAACTCAGCCATATCGTTATAACCGATGAGCCTGCAGGCGGCTCCCAGGAAGCACCCACAATTACACCTGCTTGGCCTTGCCTTTACCTAGGGATGTGGCAAGAAGTTCTTCTGAGAACACCCTTTCTGTTTGACAGTAAAAATGATACAGTTGTTTCCTTGTAAGAAAATTATCTATTAGCTCAAGTGACGAAAAGTGGAGAATCTCTTCTACAGATGTGGTCTGCCCAGCATGCTGCACGTCAGGGCCATTCAATGCTACATCATCCGGGGTTCCCACCACCGAAAGAGATGTAAGGTCATTTATACTGTTCTCTCCTTATAGTGTTAGCTCTAACAAATAAAATTTTAAATGATACCTTAGAGAGTCTGAGTGCCTTTCTTACTGGGTTCATAATGTATCAGCACCTTCCAGTGCAAAGCACAACTGTATTTAGCATTCTAGATAAATTAGTGTTGATAAGGGGTTTTTTTGGTAACTTGGAATACTAAGACAGATTCTTACATCAATAAAGTAATTACCAAGGCTTTTTTTTACCCCAGTGTTGCTGGGTTTCATATCTCTGTCTCTAAAACCCCCCAGCATGAGAGAGTTAATGGGAGAAGTAAACAAACATAAAGCCCAATACTGAGTACAATCTATTTTATTAATTTAAATAACTTACCTGGGGTACTAGACTAACATGGATATTACAGAAGTTGTCTCTTTTTGCTTTGAACTGAAACTGTCTAAATGCTTCAACAAATGGCATTCCTTCAATATCTCCAATGGTTCCACCCAGCTGAAAAAGAAAGCTTGGATACGTCAGAGTAGCAGAAAGCAAAAACAAAAGAAAAAAGAAAAGTCTACCTCTTAGATACTCAATAAGTTTTCTGAATTTTTATCTTAAAAAAAATTGACAATTGAACTTTGCAGGCATATAGTCTGCAGAGAATCCTTACCTATTCTGCACATTGTTTCGTGTGGAAAACATAACACAATTTTCCAGTTCAGTTATATCCACTTTAAAACAAACACATAAGCTTCCCACAGGAACATGTGTGGTGCTACTGAATAATACATTCTTTCACACTGCCTTCAAAGTGGTGAAAAAGTAATCAATAGTTAATCTGATGTGAAGGTTTTTGCACAGAAAAACTTTATTTTCCTGTCTGTCAGATTAATGAACAGTTGTGACCAACAAGATACAGACATTTAGCATTATTATCATAGCTTTCCAACATCAGTAAATGCCATACAGACAACATGAAATAATACTTGACATTATAAGACACTTCAACTATTTATTACCAAACCAAAACCCAAGACTAAGGCCATGATAAAACTTATTTATAAAGACAGAAATTAGATGTCTTTCAAAGACACAAAGAGCTTTAGTAGTAGTAGACTAAGCACTGAATAAAGCAGTGTTTAGCACGTAAGTCTTATGAAGTAGTTGTATTTCAGAATGATCCTTCTGTGCCACCAAGTGGCTTTTGACAGAATTGCGTATTTGTGTTCACCCAGTACCAGAAAAACTTCTGACAACTACATTTGTATGTGACTCATAGTCAGTCTAACTTCTTTAGGATTTTGCCATGGAAAAACATTACAATTATCCTTAAAGTCCTGCAGAAAAATATTTTTATCAGACTGGAGCTATAACCAAAATAAAAAAACAAACCAAAAACCACGCCTTACATGGAAGAAACAGAAAATTAAGCTTGAAGTTAAAGGACTGACAAGCCCATCACTTATTAATGTTCTTGAGCAACTTCAGTATTTACTGTTTTTTACATTTGTTTTAAATGAAATGGTTGACTCTCACTGTGCACATCACACAAAAAAGATCTATAGCTATGCCAATAAGTATATTTTAACCAAGGCAGATTCTTCTGTGTAAGAAGCACTGAGCAATTCTGTGACCTGGATCACAAATTTTATCACACTGTTGATTACGGTGGTCACTTCTGGCATTAAATCTATGACATATTCTTCTGCCAAATTCTCAGATATAATCTTTTTCTGTATTTTTTTGCTGTAATAGTAATACAGCAGTAATAGCAATTACTGACTGCCTTTCTTCCAGTTGTCTCAATGCCCTACTAAGGATGGGTAAAACTCATTGTTTCCATTGTGCAGAGCACCAGCTAACAAAGTTGCCTCCAAAGATCTTAAAAATAACACCAGAAAGTGGAAAACTAACTTATACAGTGTTTAAACATATTCCTTTAAACATGACCACAAGCAACAACATGGACGTTTCAAGTCACATCGAAAGCTAGAACGTTACAGGCTCTCCTACTGACCATGGGAGATTTCAGGTATTACACAAGGTTTCTCAATACTATTAACAGTGTAAAGCTTCAGTCAAATGTCTGTATCTTGGAATAGATACTTCACATTACAGTAACTGGCTGCTTTAATTTTATAAGTTAATAAACTCTTAAGCAGCTCAGTTTCAGCAGTATCCTAGAAGGGATTTAGTCAAGTAAACAGAAGCTGTAGGGATAAGACCACACTTATCATTCTCAGAACAAACCAAAGAATATAAAATGTGTCTTTGCATTGCTGTGCTCCGTAACTTCAGTCTGACGTTTTTACAGTAAGTAGCAAAGAGAAAGCAAGCTAGGTTTTTGTATTCACTGCAGATATAGATCCTAAAACGTTCCATACTTGCCTCAATTACACAAATTTGTGGCTCTTTTCTGTCATCATCCACTGGAACTTTTGCCTGATTCATTACCCACTCCTGAACTGCATCAGTGATGTGTGGAACAACTGCAAGACAAAACCAAAGGCGGCAAGCATGTCTTCCTTTAGGCCCATATACCAGTTTTTGCATGCAAAAGGGGAAAAATGACCAGAAAGTCAAAAGGAAACTACTAGCTCCTTCTTCTATTTCTCCCTTCCTTGAACCCTGAAGCCCAACATTGGAGGAATATGCCCATATCTCTTGGCAAGAAGAAAGGAATAAGGTGATGCAGCAAGGAGCAGTATCTAGTATCCTACAGAATTAAAAATATCACCTTGAACGGTTTTTCCAAGGTAATCTCCATGTCTTTCTTTATTAATGACATGCTGATATATCTTTCCAGTGGTGATATTGTTATCTTTATAGAGATTGATGTCCAAAAATCTCTCATAATTTCCCAAATCTAAGTCAACTTCTCCACCATCATTCAATACAAAAACTTCACCTGAAAAAAAGAAAGTGAAAAGACGCAGAAAAGCAATAAAATAATCAGAAATCATTAAACACACAGCAGG